AAACGGGGGCTGCAATTTGGCGTGTAAATTGCACGTCATTAGCGAAAATGAGAAACGGAACGAGGCGAACGTTTTCGCTGTATTGGTGAGCTTTGAAAGTTCTACGTTAGGCGCCTGCAGCGCTCGTCAAAGCTTTCTAATGCGTGAGCTGTGTCTGTGTGAAAGCTGCGCTCGATTGTTTTGCTTGTATTAGCTGCACTTCCACTTGATTTGCTGGGAAAGGCAGAGTTTCGGGTATTTAGGGGCACAATATTGTCATTTGATTAAAGTCTTAATGCGCTGGCGAATTAAGAACCTAAGCGGATTACATGATCTTATGTGCGCTACTGCGGTTTTTTTTGCTTTTTGCCAATCAACCAGACCAGATCACGATAAGGGTAAGATGGGAGAAAATAGTTGAGCTATTTTTCTTTTTGTTTTCCTTTCACACACACACTCGCGCACACACACTCGCACAGAAAAAACTGTCATCATAAAAGGATAAGATTGTTTCGGGCCATTGTTTATGGGCTGTGAGAAGTACCGTTATGGCTTTATCAGTTACTTCAAGTCGTTTGCTTTGTTGCCAAACACACAACACAGCGGGATAACTGTAACTCTAGCTGACTGACATTATGTAATCACAGTTCGTGGAAAACGGGAAAAACCAAATAAAATTATTCGAAATAGTCGTAAAAATGATTTCAAATTGGGTCCAATTAAAAGTAGCGAAAACAAACTAGATAACAGATAAATGTAACTTCTGGATGGTTTTGGCACGAATTTTAAAAAAATGTAAAATGCGTTGAGCTCGTAAGGTCAGTGGTAAATGGAATATAAACAGGGTATGCAAAATTGAAAGAAAACAAGAAGTATTCATATAGAAAGCATGAAAAGAGTAAGGCATTTCCCAAAAGCTATTTAATCCATTTATAATTCTAAAACATTCCTAGCATTAAAAGTCAAAAGAATAGAAATCCAAACAAATAAAATGATTTGAAATTGGCGTAATAATAGCTTTAAAGTAAGTCCAAAACTTAGATGATTGGAAACACAATATAGCATAGGGAAACTAAGTATTATCATAGCGAAGAAGTTGGTTGAAGGGATTGTTCCCAAGAAGTTTCTAGCATACTTTTTAATGCTTAATTATTTATAATAAATAATAGCAAGATTAAAGATTACGAATCTTTGATAAGCAAGAATAACACTTACTTTCCTCTTTTAAGCATATTTCCATGCGTGCAATATGTTAACATTAAATGCAAGAGAATTTTTAGTTTAAAATGAATACGAAATAGATGCTATTTATAGATGTCATGCCAATATTTCATTTGTCATTTACATTTTTTTATAATATACAAACAGTTTTAGTAGACAAAATAATGCTCGAGTTGGTACTAAAATGGGACCTCAGATTGGGACTCAAAAGATGGCTTACTCAAGATGAAGTTAGCTTGGAGGAGATCAAAGATAAGTTTTTCGATAGATACTTAATAACATATTCCACAATAAAAACAAACTAAATGTGTTGGGAAAGATTTCTGACACAGAAGAATCTTTAAAATACGAACTTTGTTGCAAGTCTCGAGCTATGATATAAAAAAAGCCTGGATTTACTTCTAGTCCAAAATACCACAAGAAATCTGCGATTTATGGCTTGATTTCAAGACGTAAACTCTGTAAATTCCCGTCATCCATGCAACATTTTACAACACTATGGCACTAGTTAAGCACTCGATTTGTAAATGTAGTATGTATTTGTATATGCTTTGTAATTTACCCCGTGTCAACTAACCCCGGTTCGATGGGTTGCTGTTGAGCGTGCATTCCTGGCGCGCCCGGCTGATGTTGATTGGGCATTTTGTTGTATGGCGGCATGCCGCACAGATCCTGTGTGGGCACCATCCACGAGTGGCTAAAGGGCACCGCTGACATGCCCAGCGAGCCGACCATGTGGCTGCCGGGATGACCCGGCGTCGGCTGCCGCTGATAGCCGGCATAGTCCATGGCCACCGCCTGATAGGGCAACATTTTAGTCCTCGAACGGGTTTTGTCTGATTAACGTAACACTCAAACTTGCTTAATTAGCACTGTGGCACATTTTCAATAGATCTGTATTGCACTGGATGCGTTGGCTTTGTTTTGTTTTGGCACACTTAACACTCTCTCTTACACACACACACACACACACACACACACACTGAAACAGATATACACACACGCAGCCGGCTGGCAGGAGGTCAACGACGCATCCTTTTTGCGGCGTGTTGTTGTCTGTCTGGCAAATTGGAGCACGCGTACGTGTCAGTTGCTGTCTTCAATTATCCTTGGACCCGGACACACATACACACACACACACACACACACACGCACGTAGACGCGTGGGCGCAATACGCACGTAAAACTAACGTCGACTGTCTGTCCGTCAGGCGCGCAGCTTCGATTGGCATTCAAATTAGCGTGCGATCGACTTGGCGGCCAGTTAATTCGCACGTCAGCAGAGTTCGGCACGTCGCTGACGCAATTGCAGCTGGCAACTGAATGGCCGGACGGGCTCTGGTACCGTTGGCGCGATTGAGTTTTGGGGCCGGAGTCGCAGCCGGAGGAGTTCGAACTGGAGCTGGAGCCGTGGCTGATAGTCGTCGCGTCGCGGCCTGCAAACAAATGGGCGCCAATTACGCACGCACAGGGTGGCGCACACAGACACGCACGCACACGTAGAGAGGCACACGGATACGGATACGTACGGCTACAGTTGCACGGCCGGGCAGCGTACGTGAAAACTGCAGCAAAACGGCGTTGAAAGTAACGTAAAAGAAGCAGAAGAGGAAGCAGCAGCAACAGCAACAGCAACAGCAGAAGCTGACGAACTAGAACTGCGGCGCGCGTTACGAGAGTTGTGTTTACGTAGTACGTCCGTTGCGGGCGACGAATACGTGCAGAATAATTCAGAGTCACGTTCACGTCACGAACAAAACCAAAGTAAGGCAAAAAAAGGCAGCGCTGTCCATAGACCCCCTCACACATACAACACACACACACGCACGCACACTGAGCGCAAGAGAGAGTCACGCACACAGCTAGACTATATTTTGGGGGTGACATCTTTGACTCGACACGAAGCAGCCGAAGCGACGAGCAACGAGCGAGCCAACGAACGTGAGCAGCAGCGGCGCCAGTGTGCGTGCGTGTGTGTGTGTGTGTGTGTGTGTGTGTGCACCTGACACAGCGCCTGGTCATGTACAGGGCGCACCAGTAGCATTTTAAGCAGCCTCACGCTCCAATTCGCCGCAAGCTCTCTCGTTTCGCCGTCGTCGTAGTCAGCGCCGCTAGTGTGGGTGTTGTGTGTGTGTGTGTGTGCGTGTGTGTGTGTGTGTGTGTGCGTGCAAATGGGCGGGACGTGACTGCCGTCGAATCGGAATCAACATAGCGCGCATACCAAATGAGCACAGCAATGCGTGCGAGCGAGAGCGTGCCTCATGCACTGAGCAAAGCAGCACAGCTGCCTTTGTATGTTTATGCTGGTGTGTGTGCGCTTATGTGTACGTGCAGACGTTTGTATTGTAAACTAAAACTGGTTTCGCCTGCTCGCTCGCTCACACGCACGCACTCGCATGCACTGGCTTGGAGTGCCGACACGTTGGCTCTTTCTCTCACTCTTTTATATACTGCTTAGCTGGTATCCACAGTTTTCGTTGGGGCTGCGTCACGCGCAGCAATTAGTTTACTTCTTTACACATTTGGGAATTTGTTTAGCGGCTCTTTCGGCTGTTTGTCTCTCTATCGCTCTCTCTTTCTCACTCTCTCTCTCTCTCTCTCTCTCTCGCCTGCTGTATGCGCTCGTGTGGGAGTTTTGTTGTCTGTCGTTCGCTTTTTATGTGTGTTTGTGTATGTGACCGAAATGCCAATGACAAGATGCCAATGGTGGAGCAGGCACAAAGCCAACCAAAAAAAAAATAAAACTGAGCCGCAAAGTTCGGAGTTGGAGCCAGCGACCGAGCCTGGCCAGGAGCAGCGTCTGTTACGAGCCCTTTCTGCGTGCGTGCTCGGCGGGGCGAGACACAGGTAGCTGGGCCAGGATTTTGCGCTGGCCAGCAAATCGGCTGGGCGGAGGGAAGGTGCTTTTTATTATTCCGTCCTCGCACATCGACAGCGAGCGGCTTGAATTTTACTTTTGCGCCTGGTTTTTATGCGTTTATAATCATTTTCAAGCAATCCCAGAAATTGTTTAATTTCATCAATGGGCCAACACGAAATGTGAAAGTCTCTCGTCGGCCATTTTGTTCTCAGCCCAGCCACAAACAGTTACAACCGGCATCCAGTGTGCATAGTGGAAATAAAGAGTGTTAAGTAACGGCTAAATTTGGCAGAACGAATACCTTTTCGTGATTGTGTACAAATATACATAGATATTTTTATTATAATAAATTAAATATGCTCATAAATTGATCAAATTAAATATATTATGTAATGTTCAGTATAAATGTCAATACTTCCGCAATCCTGACAAATAATTAAACATTTTCTAAACCAGAAAGCGAAATTCTTGTTTCAAAAGGTTTCTAAGATCAAAAGGTTTTCATGAAAAATATCTTACGATGTGTCTTTTTATACGATTAGTTATTTCCTAAGTCACGAATTCAATTTTGAATTTAAGAAACAAATTCCTTCTTTCAATTTAAGTTTTGTTGGAATTTGTGTATATGTAAAAACATTTCCTTTTTCGAAATTATGTTGAAGGCGCTTTTCCTATTGGCCTATGAAGGTAGCTATGGTTGATTATAAGTATTTTCAAAAGAGCAAAAATAATATGGTTACCGAAAAAAGTTATCTCAAAATCCACAGGAAACCATCGATGAGTTTGTTAAATTAACTTTATCTAAAAATATTTCAATATTTATCTATATAAATTTTAGTCAATAATTACATTGCAACTAATCGATAATTGGAGCATTTTCTTGAATCTTTGCAAGTGCCTTTGTTATCGATTGTTTGTGCCTTCTCCAATTGGAGCAGCCAATCAATGACTTGCACTTTTCGCTTTTGTGCTTGTGTTTGTGCCACGTCCTCGTAGCTGTGCTTCAGAAATTACGTAAGCGCAACGTAACGTTAGTGAAACATGTGTAGAAACGTGATCGATTTCTTGAGACCAGTTGCAGAGTTAAAAGAGAGTGGCAGAGAGTGGGAGATGGGTGGAGAGAGGGGGCAGAGGGTGTAGAGTGGCAGACAAGTTGGCGTAGCGAATTCTCCCACAATTACGCTTCGCTGGCGGCAATTGTGAATTTTAAAAAGGAGACGTGCCAAGTGCCAGTCGCGGGGGAGTGGGCGGGGTGCGTGGGTGGCGCTATGCCAGTGGGCGTGCGTGCCTGTGTGTGTGTGTTTAGGTGAAGGCGTAGACAATGAATGAGGAACTAAAATTCAACGCCAGCTGCCCATTCGGCCCGTTCCCGTTTGCCATAAAAATCGAACGTGAACGGCTGCGCTTCCGGTTAGCAGACGATTCCACAAATCGAAATCGAAATCCACGTGCAGACAGCGGCCAGACATTGGCAATTCGCCTGACGGAGCTGGAGCCGAGCGTGCAGCGTAGGTCGGAAATTGTTGCGTGCGGATGATGATACCTCGAGGACAATGGCCATGGACGTGGACTCGGACGTGGACTCGGACGTGGACGTGGAAGCAGACGTGAACGTGCAACGATGCGTGCGAGGCGCCCACACGGCCCCTTCCCCTTCCCCTCGCGCATACTGTATCCCGAGCTGTAGAGTCAAGAGTCTGAGCAACTGCGGCCTGGCCATATAAAGGTGCGTGTGCCCGGCCGAGTGCGTGCTGCGGCTGTTGATGGACCTATTGGACATGAGTTTGAGTTTTCATTTCGGTCTCGGTTTCGGTTTCGGTTTCAGTTTCTGTTTTGGTTTTTGAAAAACGCGCCGGCTAAAATAATAATATATATATATCGCACATGAAATGTGTATTCCAGTCAGGAGCCGTTCGCTCCGGCTGCCAATTGTTGCATGACTTTATGAATGGGGCCGGTCGCTTGTGGCCGGCACGTATGCAAGTGCTTCCCTCTAATCAGTTGGCAGCCGCCCCCACACCCCTCTCCCGCTCTATCACAGACACACAGACAGGAAGAAGCGCCAAGTGAGTGAGCTGGTCAAGAGAGGCGCCACTTGCCAGTTATCCATCACGTTTTCTCGGACACACGAGGCATCCATTTCAAATAGCCAACGGCCCAGAAGCGGGCAACGTGATTTGCGAAAATCAAAACAAACAAACGAACGAACTTGGCGTTTGCCAACATCATTTAGCTTGTTCGATAAATTTATCGAACGCTTAAGTATCGATGGGTACGTCGATAGACTGATTTATCGATAAAACAGTTTTTGTTTAAAAAGCATTTAGCTACAGGTTCTAGTTCTAGTTTTGATTTGTGTCTTCCCAAATTAATCGATAGACTTATCGAAAAACAGTTCGATAAATCAAAAACAACAAACCCTGCCCAAGCATGCACTTTACTTTATTACTTGTTTCAGTTCCAGTTGCCGGAATCAAATGTTTCTTTTGCAGTTCTAGTTGATGTTAAGAGTCCTAAACAAATCGATAAACTTATCGATAAATCTATTCCCTTGCTTACATCTACAAATAAAAAACCTGCTCAAGGATGCAGTCAACATTTCTAGTTCCAGTTCCAGTTGAGAACCCAGTTGCTCAGAGGAAGCAATAAACTAGGCGCGATCGCTGATCTGTCACGATCTTTTTGCTCTGGACAGCAGCCCACAGGAGAAAGCAATAAAACTGACACAGGTGATAAAATAACACAACAAGATGATTCGTTTTTTAACGTTTGCTTCTTTTTTCCTTTCTTCTATCTCGTTTTTCGGTGACTTCGAGTAGCAGAGAAATGCGGATTATCAGCGTGTAGGATCTGGCAGGCGAGCATTTTATGGCGCTGTGAAAGGTACCATAACTGTTCTTGTGCCCTGTTACACAATCGAAACACAAAACGATTCATAATTCACAAAGAACAACAAACCACAAACAAACCCAAACAAACGATTAAGCAATAAAAGAGCGCAGAGTTCGAGTGTGCGAGCGAGACGGCATTCGGCTGGAAATTGGAGACATTTCAGCTCCGGGAGCTGAGAGCCAGATTTTTATCAAACTGTGCGTGCTTCTGGAGAAATGCATATATGGTAGATGCCCCCTCAAAGTGTTGCCTCTGCCCCTGCCCCTGCCCCAGCCCCTGGCTCTGGGGCGTAATAATTTTTATTTAACCAGATGATGAACTGCAAGATCAGCTTGAAGATCACTTGAAATGAATTAGTTGGACTTTGGGGTCTTCCTTGAAGGATCAGCAGGCCGGACTTGTGGAAAGGGTTTCCATTTCAATGGAGATTTGTGGCAGGGGCAAAGCATTGCTATAAATTCAAATATAAACAGGATGTGATCTTGTGATCTTATTTTTTGGAATAGAATTCTCGTTTGGAAAGTGAAGTGTAGTATTTTTGAATACAAATTAATGCAGACACTTTTATTGTACTGTTTTACTATTAACTAATTAATATTTTTGGTTTATAGTGAAGTTTTAATGCTTGCTAATATTCGAGATATTTGGTAGAAATAACATGCGAAAAATGATTATACGAAGAGATCATTTAAAAGTGCAAAGTTTCTTTGCTTTACTCCTTGTTACTAAATAACTATATTAATATGCTAATATTTGGCATGAATTCCCGCTGTCTAATTGAATTAGACAACACTGACAGCTGCCAATTAATAAGCATAAACACTTATTTAACACTGAAATTCCTATTCTATAATATCTTGATTTCAGTTTAGCTAAACATCGCATTTAACGCATTCCAAGCTAGATTTAACTTTCAAAAACAGCAAATCAACTTTAATTGTTGTGCAGTATATTATATATATACATATATATATATATATATATTTTATTATATCTGCCACTTAAACTGATCAATTGAAAGCGATCGTCGATCGTCGATCGTTGACTCCGTTTACTCGCCGTTATTTGAGCCATAAATTAGCTCCAAAGCTCGAAAGCCAAAACAAACTGGAGCTGTCAAGTGTTGCTTGCCCCACATCTGCCCCCATGTCCCCTCCTCACGTACAACTATCCTCCCTCTTGGAACGCCTCTGTACGCGGCGATCTGCTTGTTTATCGTTCACTTTTCTGGTATTTAGCAAATAATTCGCATGCCGAACCGTAGCCGCCAACTGCGGCGACACAAAGTGCGCAGTTGTGATCGGAATTATTAATTAATATTCTTGCACCTACCGAAAGAACTCGGTAAATCTAGTCCAGAAGAAGACGACGCGATTGGCAATGGGGTTGTCCAGCCCAGAAACAGCTGCACACTGGGCCGAGATCGCTTAAAACAGTTGCCAAAATATTGATTTGTCTAATTGCATTTAAATTGAACGGGGATTGAGTATGGCCGAAAAAATAAAGAAGATCCTGCATAAAGTACCAACAACTTTGCTGACCTTCCTTTTTTTGGCAGCCCTGATTCTGTTGTAGCCCTGAATGTGTTACGCCCCAATTCTATTGCAGCCCTGTTTCCGTTGCAGCCCTGATGCTTTTGCAGTCCTGATTCCCAAGCGCAGCTTCTAGCTCCCAATCTTGACAAGAATTTAATGTAAAAATTACTTATATAAATATGTTTTTGGTCCATGAAATTGTAGTCACAAATAAAATGAACCTGCGAATCACTGTGATATGAGCGCAGAGTCAACAGCCCGCAGTCGTGACCGTGACAGTTGGACGTACAAAAAAATGGAGAAAAATCGAAGGATGAATTGGAAAAAAACTGAAGAAAAAAAAAAGAAACGCTGCAAGGAAACAGCGACTGGGGCCGCCTTCAGCTTGTCCTGAAGCGTGTTCGGGAGCAAAGTGCATTCCCGGCATGCCAGAGTGGCGGGTAGAGGGGACAGGTGGAGGCAGGGGAGCTTGTTTGTTTGTTGTTATTGTATTTTTTTTGTGAGTTGATTTTGTTGGCTTTCAGTTTGTCATTTGCGTTGTTCGATTAATTGCAGAAATCAATTTAAGCAATGCAACTTTGCCTCATTGCGACATTGTTGTCGTTGTCCTGGTTTTTGTTGTTGTTGTTGTTGATCGATTCATTGGAAAGATGCCTTTGGGCTGGAATTGGGACTGTGCCGCTGGGTGCATGCATCAGCCCAACAGCTGTCGTACCCCTTGATCGCCCGGCCGGGCTGTGCTAATTGCCAACAAGCTGAGCCCGGCTAGAAAAGTTGCACAGAATCGAGTCGGCAGAATATGTTTAGAGCTGATGCTGAATCGTTTGATGCGTGCAACATCTTCCGGCAAGTAGCCAGGCATGGCAAAAAGAGTGTGACAACGCGCGACAGCCTCGAGATAAATCCAATTAGTCTGATATTTGTACTTTTTATGTGAGAATTCCCATTAAAAATGTAAAATGTCATAACAACGAGAACAAGACAACAGACAAACAGCAGCAGCAACAGCATCAACTGACAGCAGCAGCAGCAGCGACTGGGAAGCGCAACCGTTCAGCTTAGCCGCATTCATAATACACTTCCCCAACCAGACAACATTTGAGAAGTTTATGAAACTCTCGAGCGATTCACCTTAAATTTGACATGTGAGACGATAAGAGTCTAAAGAGCATGTATACCAAATTTCAGCGTCGTATCTTTGAGCATAACCGAGTTATTGGCATATTTAGATTTATATCAATTAATTATTAAATCTTGAAAATAAAGATGAAATATGAAGAAGAACTGGTACAAAATTTCTCTTTAATCGTAATTCAAGGCAAGCTAGGACACATAGTTGTGGCACCTGCAGTTAGATCAACACATTAATGTTGACAGCAACGGTTTCTGCTAAGCTGCAGATACAACTACAAGAAGAGTCTGAGTCCGTATCTGAGTCTGAGTCCGAGTATCTCATAGATGCGACATGCGCCTTTGACGTCTGGCGGCGACGTTGGCGACGTCTTTGCCTGGCATTCAATAATTTTATGCTAACAAATGCGTCGCCAAGTGGCGCTGCCAAACGGGGCAGATGGACAGCGGCTGGGGTAGGGGCAGGGGCAGGGGCAGAGACTTGCAGAATCGTTTACGGTAACATTAACACTTACCGCGCATTCACCGAGGACTGAGCGGCTCCGATCTCCTCCATGGACTTTCTGTGAACAGAGAGAAAGAGAGAGGTTGAGAGAGAGAGTGAGGGAGAGAGGGAGAGTTAAAGATACAGATACAGAAATGCATTTAGCTTCGGGAATCTGTTGAATATTCGATTAGTGAGCGCGTTGGGAAAAAGTTGACATTTTCTAAATAAATTAAATTAGCCGATAAATGTGGCCCGCGGCGTGGCAGAAAGCTCACCTGTCGCCCCAGCAAAGCGCATCCTCGCGGTATCTGGAATGGACAAAAGAAAATCATATTTTAACGTTTTTGTTTTTGCCTTCAATATTTAACTAGGTTTGAAAGGCACCCATGGGAGGCTGCAAGCCGGTTCTAACCCGGATTTATTGTTTCAATATTTGTAAGATATTTTTCTAAACTAACGAATATCGAAAAAAGAGAAAATATAATAAATTACATTTTGCTATTAAGCCTGGTTCAAAATAAAAGGCCAGACACTAGTTCAAACCCTAAACAGAACTAGAGAAACGGAAATATCTCATCTAGGCTCCCAAGTTCTAAGATTCCAGCTTACATATTCTATTTAACAAACTGAAAAAGTGGGATGAGCCAAGGCTCATATATTGGGAAAACATGATTTGAACCTAAAGACGAGGCACTGGTTCAAACCCTGCACAGAGCTAGAGAAACATGTACTAAAACTATACTTTCTTTCAAGTCTCGTCTAGGCTTAAAAGGCTTACATGAAAAGTGGCAAGCAAATGTCGAGCCCGGACTTCAAGCACCTATTTAAAGGCGAGGCACTGGTTCAAACCCTGCAGCAAACTCGCGACAATTGGGGTTGGGCAGACTTTGTCGAACTTCGACAAGGTCAACAGGAAATTGAAATCATCTAATAAACAACAATCAGCGCCAAATTGCACTCAGAGCTTGGTCAAGAGCTGCGCATTATCAGGCCCGGGCTTTATAATCAAGTGCAAGAGTCGAGGAATAAAATTTATTGATTTGTGCCTGCCCCTCCCGCTCCGCGATTAGCCTCTGTCTCTTGTGTCTGCCACAGCGCCAGACAATTTTCGTCATACCAACGAAACAGCTCGTAAATCATTGCCCCAAAATATTGTGGCACAAGTCCACGTTAACGTCCGCGGGTTCTGCGATCCTTTCAAGTTGTCCCGTTTTTGCGATTCGGCCTGACCCTAAAATCGATCGCATCGAACGGTTTCCAGCGGAGCCCTTCAAGTTTTTCGGGTTCGATCCGCGACGCGCCAGGGCAATTATCCAAATTGTAATAATATTCATAAGTTTCCCCTTTATTTAGCTTCTTTGTTTTTTCTTTTGGCATAACTTGTGCAGTTTATCAATCGTAGGTCAAGTTTTATAAGCAGAAACAATTATTGGCTAATGCCTTTCGCCTAAGATTCTAGGTTGCCTTTTTTTTTTTTTTAATATTTGGGCAAATAAAAACTTAGCCGAAGCACTTGCCAATATTGCAGAGAACTGTGTGCTTTCAGCTTTGCTTACTTTGCTTTGATGTGCCAAGGAACTGGTTGGGAATTATAGAGCAAAGGTTGGTAAAATAAATGAACATTCATTTAAATCTAATCTGATGATGTGGTAAATCAACTGAATAAACAATATTTAGCTTAAAAAGCTCATGTTATCTATGCATGACTTTAAAATAGTTAGATAACAACATTACGATGGTTTAACTCAATCTTGGCTTATAGTAAGGGTTGCAAGTCCCACTCTTAGGCCAGACTGCATTAGCTCTTGGTCGAAAGATTGGGTAAACTACTCTGTTAAACTCTTTCAGGCATTAAGATTATATGGAAGTTGTTATTTAAGTTCTTGTATAACATGATTTCCATACTAGGGCTAGTCCAGTGAAGAAACACAAGAAGAGACCTATCTGAGCTTTTCATTCCGAACCTTTTCTTTCCTATCAATCGACCTGTAAATCGCATAGAGACGATTGCTGATCGTTTATTGGCTTGCAAATTTCACATAATAATCGATAAGATAAATATAGGAAAATAGCGTTATCAACTTGTAAGGAATTTATAAAGAAATCCAGGAAGCAAACACGCAAAACAAATGGAAGGAAAAATTGACAAACTTTAAAACTAATTTTCGCATAATTAAAGTAAATTTCTATTTTTTGTGAGCTTTCCGCTCAGTTTCTTTTTATTAAACCGTTAAAGTTTCCTTCTAATAATTATAAAAAAATCATAAATTATGAAACTGATCTGGGATTTCTTTTGTAAATTAGGACCCGCTTTCCTTTCCGCCACAAATGCTTCTCTGGTCGCAGCAATGTTTCCATCCATGTCAAACAATGTCAGCTGCTGGCCTTTACACTCGCGCCCAGAGACACGTGTT